GTTTCTGCTTTGGACCCATGTGCATCAGAATAAATCACAATCTATCAAACTGAGCTCGGATGAATGTTTTCTTTATGATTTTTGACTGTTCATTGTTGAAAGACTGGATTTTCACTGAAGTAAGTTGTTATTTTTGACTGGTTGTTGGCTTGTGAAAAAGAAAAGATTTAAGATTTAAAAGGAGTTCAAAAGCTACAGATATACAGGCTATAGAAACATTTAATTTATTTAAAATGTTATTATTTTATATTATGCTTGTTCTGGATTCAATGTTTAAGCAAAACTATTATTAAACACTGATTTTAATAAGAAAAGATTTAACATTACATATCTCGAAAGAAGAGAAAACATGCAGACGTGGGTTAAATTTTCAAAAAAATATTTTGTTTGGCCAACGACTTAGTCCCAGTTTTTAATTTTGTCCCTCTGTGAATTTGACTTTGACACCCCTGATCTACTTAATCATGCACTATGTAACATTTTTGGCTGGGGGTCTGTCACCTGCTTGTTTCTATGGAGATGCCATTGCAGTGCCTGGAATGTTCCACAGTATGACATTAAACAGCTCTAACTTACATTTACTCAATTACAGGTGGTTTTATAACTCAAAAATACCTTAAAAATAACTGTAATTCTGACTGTGAGCGTGGTCGCCTCTCCACAGAATCAGAATTTATTTGTCATTTCAGTAAAAAAACACACAGAAATGAAACACTGCACTCAGGTCCAGGTCAACAGCTGCATAAATAATGGGAATAAATAGTTTCAAAATATCGTAAGTCTTTAAAAACAGTCCGCACCCGCCCCCATTTTCAACTCAATGCTATTCTGCTTTTCAAGTCAGCGCTATTTAGAACGGCGCGTTAGTGTCCAGTTTTTCTGACAGAATTGACTGTTCTGAAGTATGGTGGTCCTGGTCCGTAGGTGGCGCAGTGTTCTGTCTGATGGTAGAGCTGTAAAAAGCCCATGTGTTGTAGGTTTTTTTCCTGTACTGTAGATTTTCAAGCAGCCATCCTTGAAACTAGCCTGATTCATGAGCCGGTTTAATTTTGTGGAAACCGTCTGAACTCGCAGCGTTAAGATTTGTTCGCTTGACAGTAGGTGGGTGCTTTTTTTATTTAACTAATCGCTGCTATTTGGTCGTGACGTCTGTAATGCGCCAAATCCCGTGGGTAGAAGGGCAATAACGTCTTTCACCTTGATCAAATTCACCAAACATTCTCCTTGTTCCGGTTTTAAATCCTAGATCTCGGGAATCGTTGCCAACACAGAATATGGCTACGTTCAGACTGCAGGGCTTAACGCTCAATTCGGATTTTTTTGTGAAATGCGATGTTTTTGCGAGGTCGTTCACATTTCCAATTAAATGCAACTTGTATGTGATCTCCAGTGTGAACAGTAAACGGCTCAAAAGTGGAGATTTTAAAGTTCCTCTCGTACCGGAGCCAGAACATGAACAACTTACTTGTTTTAAGGAGGAGATTGAGAAGGAGAAGGACGAGGTTTTTGGCCGTGGCGTTTTGTGGGGCAGCAGCAGCGACGTCCGTTGAAAGGAACCTGTGGATGTGGAGATGTAGACAAGAGTGGTGAGTGGTGATGTGTTTTGCTTCAGTGACACGGAGTTCATTAACAATTTTCACCTACTTCAGAGCAGAATAGTGACGTTTGTGGCTTTTTGATAACGTGTAGGTCGGATGAATGCGCTTTGGCCGTTCAGACTGAAATCGCATGTCAAAAGATCGGATATGTATCGATTTTAGGACCACATATCGAAGCGGTCTGGGTTGCATTTGAAAAAAGCTGATCTGTGTCGTTCAGACTGTCATTAAAAGATCAGATACAGGTCACATAGGGGCCAAAAAATCGGATTTGGGTCACTTCAGGCTACAGTCTGAACGTAGCCTATATGTCTTCATCTACATCCATCTCAGTGTGCAAGAGCTACAACTTCTGGGTTCTTGCAAAATATCTAGTGTTTTCCGATTCCTGACTTAGTCGCTGGAGAGAAATGAAATTGAGCGCTGAGGTAACTCCAGCCTGGATATCTCGAAACACGCTCTAAAATCAGGGAGACAGGACACATTTTTCTGTAAAATTTAGTCAAAGTGTGTGGTTCTGGCTGGACAGGTGACCCAGACACAGGAAAGACATGCAAACTCTGCACAAAAATCAGGCAATTAGAAATAACTTGATTAAAATGTGATAAACTGCACAGCCCTGTACATCTTTAGTTTTTTTTGACATATTTTACTGCTGTTTTAAGTATCCCGATCACCAAACTCAACCATAATCTTCTTGCCTTCTCTTTCTTCAGTTTTTCTTCCTGGTCACATTCTTTCACATTCAAACACAGAGGAGGAAAGCTTTGATTACCCGGCACAGCGCGGGGCAGCCACTGGACCATAACACTGCTCCAATGGGCTCCCAATCCGGAAACTGAGCGGTCGCTATGGATACTGGAGCAAAGGAGCAGAAAAAACAAGTGTTAAAGTTACTCCAGTGATGGATTATGGGGAGGGGAGGAGAGAGAGATGATCACCAACAATGGAAATTAATTAAAGGAGATTCCTAAGACGTAGTGGTCTGGTCAGTGAGCTGCTCATTGAAAGATCTGTATTGGAAATAATACTTTATTGGGGAGAAGTTTTTAAAGAGCACTATGTAACTTTTCTGGTGGACCTGCTTGTATGTTTTAACACCACGCCTTGTAACTTTCTAGACAAAACAATAGACTAAAATTCTTCTAGATGCTTTTATTGCACACACAAAAAATCCATATCTCCACAAACCTGATTCCGGAGCATAAATGTAACGTCATATACGAAATATGAAAAATGTCCTACAATAAAACACACATCGGAGAAACAGGGAGGACATTCAGTATACGAAAAATGGAACATAGAATAAAATGCGAGAAGGAAACAGTGAAGGCGAAACACGAGCAGCAAAACGCAAAGTAGAACAGGAACAACTTAAATTGGCCATTTGTGACCACCGTAAAAGGAGAGAACCATATTATGGACTGGGACAGAGGAAAAACAAACATTGTCACTGGATTAAAAGAGGCAATCGAAATATGGAAACGTGCCCATGGAACTACAAACTGGGACGAGGGGGCTTTTTTATTCGGACACACCTGGGATACTGTACCGAGGAAGTCGGACTGCAGATGGCGCTGTTCTCCTGCCTCCACCGGTAGGAAGACAGCGCCAAAACCTGTTTAAATCAGCTGAGCGACATGTCACAGCAACATCACGTGACTCTGAGGAAGAGCACTAGTGAGCACTCGAAACTGTCAGGTATGAAAACAAACTCTTGGTCTGAAAAAAGAACCTCATAACGTAAACCTGATTCTTATCGGTCTGGAGTAGCGACTTTCTAGTTCCATGTAAATAATGCAGGTGAGTTGCCACCTCCACAACTTTCCTAAGACTCTTTAATGCTTTTGAATAATTCCTCTTCATCAGTGAAGGTAACGAATTACTTGTAGTAAAGTATGTAGGTTGCTGTGTGTAACATAGTGGAAGAAGACGAGGCTGCATCTGACAGCGCAAACACTGGAGTTGAGACGTCACAGTCCCACGTTTTGGCTCTGGTACCTCCTTGGAGATCACTGTACCACTCAGACACTGTCTACACTAGTACTTATTCAAGTCGTTTTCGTTGTGGATGCAGTGTTCGTCCACACTAATAGAAAATGGCTCCAGACATGGAACGATGTGGTGCCACCAGCTCCCACGAATTCATCTGAGTACGGATCTGATTTGACACTGTGTGGACGTCTGAAAACATTGACACGCTGACGTAGGTTTATGCACCACGAAGTAATTCACCGCCAAAACACAAAGAGGCTAAAATATATGTCCATTCTTATATACGGTCTATGCGTACGACCTGCAGACGTATAATCTCTGAAAAGTTTAATATGAACCATTTAGGTATCTGTTCTGTACTTTACTTAAATCAGTTCTACTTAACTCCACTACATTTGAGAGAAGATTTTCTACTCTACTCTATTTTTCAACTGGACAGAAAAATGAAAAGTACTTTTTACATGAGTTTAGTGGTTATTTTTTAAAGCTTTTGAGTTCAGGCTTCAGCTTCCAGCAAACAACAATAAATAGGCCTACAGAATATTCATTAGAAATTAAGAAATTGAATCAATATCACTACATTACATTACATTACATTACACAAAACACTTAATGAAAATCTGTGTGATTTTCAAAATAAAAAACTGGGACATCCCCAGTTTGAGTTGGTTGATAATAATAAAATTGTGAAACGAGTGTGTAATTAAGGAAAACTGTTCTGCACTCAGCACTAATGTGAGTCACATTTTCTTTGTGTTTTGGTCATTTTTACGCAGCTTTTCTGTATTTTACCTAAAGAAATGACAGTTTATGCCTCTCTTTACTGTTGGCAGGGATCAGATTGGTTAAACATATGGACACCTGGGACATTTCTTGTACAAAATTGGGACAAATCAATGGTTTTGGATAAATCTGCTGGGACAGGGGACACAGGGCTCAAAACTGGGACTGTCCCGGATAAATAGGGACGTCTGGTCACACAACTTTTTTGTTATAACTACTTTTACTTGAGAAACATTTTGCCTCTGTATCTGTACTTTTACTTAAGTAACAAAGCTGAGTACTTCATCCCCCGCTGCTCTTCCTCACCTTTGTAACCCCTCCGTGAGTTTTGGGGCACTGGCGCAGACTCCACCCCCGGATCAGAGAGGCAGAGGCGGGTTCAGAGCATCCACGGCACCGTCTCCACACTCGCTCCTCACTCCTCCGGTCCGCAGCGCCCGGGACCGTCTTCACAACCCAAACCCGCCCCAAAACCCGTACAAAAGCGGCATTTCCTTTTCTTTTGCGGACTTTTTTGCGGACGTTTTGGAGTCTTCCGCGATGCGACTGGATTTACGCGCCGTCGTTGTCTGCACAGTGGATGTTTTCTGCACGGGACAATGATGGATGTCTGAAGTTCATTCTGTGAGCGGAGAGCGGTGTTTTTGGCGCAAATGGGGGCCACATGTGCGCTACTTTACGTTACCGTCCTGGGTGAGTGCATTCATTTGGACATAAATTAGATCCAACTTTTCTTTGGACGTGGGTTTGTTTACTCCACGTGTTGTCGCTCTGTCTTCTCACAAGTTTTAGTAAATCTGGACATTTTACGTAATTTTCTAGCACGTAGAGGAAGCAAAAATGACTTTATTTAGTGTACAAGATTTTTTTTTTTTTTTTTAATTAAGACTTGCTCTGTGCACTAACCTGTTGTTCTGGACTGGGTATAACTTATAATTTAAACTTTTTAAGATGCTGTTTTGGGTGCTTAAAAGAAAAAAAATATTTATTTTACGCTGTTTTCTGAGCCATGTTTTAATGTTTCCTCATCACAAACGCACCAGGAGTTTTGCTTTGTTTCATTCACACATGTTTAAGACACAAAACCTGCATATTTAGGCTTAAACTTTTCTTTCTCGATGGAGACAAGCAGGTAGACAAACTTAAAGATAAAAAAATAACCTCAAAAAAAGTGACATAGTGCGACTTTAAACTTGTACTAGTAGCAACAATGATGATGTGTTTAGGATATAATGAGCCTTTTCTCTTCAGGCTCTGGATAAAAGAGACACTTGTAACTAGTGTTGTCTCAGTTCTAAAATTTCTAAGTCGATTTTGATACTAAGGAATAGATTCGATTAGGGCTGGGTAGTTAATCTGATTATTATTAGATTAGTTTGTTTTTGTTTTTAATAAATAATAATAAATAAGATTTTAAAAACTTGCAAAATCGTTCTGAAGGACTTGACTTTTTTTTTTGCAAAACAGTGTTACTGGTGCAATTACACAATTAGTACTGCAAAAAATCTCATTCTAACTTAAACTATTGAAATTACATTACAGATAGGGCTGGGTATCATTAAGAAGTTGCCAATACGATACATACCTCGATACATAGGACATGATACGATACATATCTCGATACAGTGCACTTTCAGTTCGATACGGTTCAATAAAAAAAAAAGGGTGGCTGTGATACTTAAAGTCTTTGTTAAACCACTTCTTGTGCAAAGTTCATATGAAACACAAACATTTTAATCATCAAAACAGTGAAAATATCAAATGTGTTGCATAAAAGAGTTTCCTTCCTCTGAACAAACAACAAAACTGTGCTGCTGTAACAAAATAATTTAGTAAAATAAACCAAAAAATACTCTTGGCGATATATGAATACAGCAGCCCACGATATTGATACTGTATCATCACATTAAACGGTACGATATATCGATATTTCAGTATTTTTTTATTAGTAAGTCTGTTTACAGTGTCTTAAATATTAGGATATGGTCAGAAAGAGAATGCAAAGAGTTTCCTCTGTGTGAAAGTCCAGCGAATTCCTGCTCTGACTTTGTTTAAAATCAATAAAAATAATTGTAATTGCTTAGTGTGTGAATAAAACATTGATTTGATTCTTTTGCCACAGCTCCCAGACTTAGACTCGACACTCAATACCGATTTTGATACCACAATGAAACTGAAAAACACTCTAGACATATTATTTTCAGCATTAAATTGTAATTCTTGTGTAATTCCTTAGTGGTCCAAGAGCGTATCCTAGTCTATTTGCTCTTATATTTATTCTGATACAGCTCGAGATCATTCTAAAGCTGTTCAGGAAAGGTGCGTTTTTGTGCTATGAATATGACTTTTACGACGCTACTCCCCCCAGAAAAGTCACATAGCGCAACTTTAAACTTAGGCCGCTGAGGTTTGTGAAGTGTGCTTAGGCTCAGATGTAATGAGCCTCTTCCCTTCAGGCTCTGGATGAAAGAGCCGAGTTAAGAGGCACTTGTAACAGTAAAACAGCTTTCTGCAACTTCTGACATCCTGAGAGACCGAGCACCTGGCCCGGAGATCACATTTACACTCAGATAAGACCAGTCTGCACACACACACACATTCTCAGGTTAATGTGCCATAAAACACAGCTATTAAAAGACCCATATTGTGCCATTTTCTGATTATAATGTTGTTTCCTCATCACAAACAGACCTGGATACTAGAGGTGTAACAATATCCAAGTCTCATGATATGATATCGTCACGGTATGAACCTCACGATACGATATTTATTGCGATATCGCGGGAAAGCTCACGATATAATGGGGAGGCTCATGATTAGGGATGTAACAATATACAAATCTCTCTGTATGATATTTTCACAATATACATCTCACGGTTTGATATTTATTGCAAACAGAACTGTTAATATGCAACATTTTCCTCTTAAAATGCCTTGACAAGACTTAATCTAAAGAACTAAGACTTAAAAGTGCTTAGAACTGTTATTTCTTCTTGTAGTCTGCACTGAAATGGAGCAAAGGATCATGGTCTATGTAGTTCCCTCTGTCTTTTTATATAAATATAAATGTACAAGTCAAAATTAAATAAAGAAATAAGTAATAAAATATAAGATCTCAGCTCTATACAAGAAGAGATCGAAATGAACCAACATATTATAACTTACTCATAATACTAACCAACAACCAACAAAGGATCATGGTCTATGTAGTTCCCTCCATCTTTGTTTTTTAGCTATTGCTGCATCATAACTCTTAATTTAAGCAAAGAGAGTAAGTCATTTGATATACTGTGATGGTCCACGATATTATTGTGAGAACTTTGACGATACGATATCACGATATTTCTGTTATTGTTACATCTCTACTGGATACCACAGTTTGAGCTTTGGAGATGTAGACGGACTAAGTCTACGTCCACACGACAGCGCTCCTGGATTTTTTATTTTGCGAGTTGAAAAGATTTGCGTCCACACACATGTCGTATCAATAAATATTCACGTCCACACGACAACGGAGCACTGAGTGAAAACGATGTAATACATATGCCACAACTATGTGTGGCGCTGTAAACAGGATGCAACCAGAGCCACTGGACTCACAACACTACAAAGAGCGAATGTGCGTGGGGTTCTCTTCTGGTCACGTGGCGATGACGGGGTCGCGACGTCATCGTTTTCAAAAGCGTTTTCAAATTTCTCCACTCTGGAACCTGTTTTCGCCCACGCAAAACACCGCCCCCGTGTGGACGACAGGCCAAAACTAATAAAAACTTCACCGTTTTGCCCCAAAACGTTGTTCTGTGGACACCAGCTAAAACATGTGAATGAAACAAAAGAGAACTTCATTTACTAGTCTATGTGCTCTTATACTTGTTCTGATACAGCTCACGATTGTTTTATTCAGGAAAGGTTCATTTCTGTCCTGTGAGTGTGACTTTTTTAATATCTATGCTTGCTCAAATGAGTGTCTAGTATCGATTATTTTCTGATTTTTGATACTTTTGACAACCCTACTTGCTCAGGGACTTAAATTGCAAATATCAGGAATTAGATTTAGACTTAAGGCTGTGCAGTTAATTGAATTTTGATCACGATTTCGATTTGTGTGTCAAACGATCTCCAAACTCATATAATCCAGTTGAAACCTAATTTCGTTTATTAGTATTAGAAGTATATTTATTTCATTTTTTCAATATAGAGATTGTAGAACAGCTGGATGTTTATTTTGGATACATTTGTGTTTTTCTATGACTTATTTCATGTTCAAAGTATATTTTAAAAAATGTAATTTTTATACATCGCAAATCTGCCCTAAGATACATATTTGTAGCCTGTGTATATTTCCAATTTGAATGTTTTGCATAAATTATCAATAACAAAGTGGGGTTTTGAGAGAGAAATGCTGAATAAATGCAGCATGTAACTAACAAATAAACATTTGAATAATCGTGATAGTGATTATTTCCGTAATCAAGCAGCCCTACTTAGACTTAGACAAAATGTATTGATCCACAAGGGAAATTATTTGGACACAGTAGCTCACACATCACAATATAATATAACAAAGAGTAAAAATACAAACGGTAATAATAAAGTAGCAAAAAATATAGCAAAAGTGTCAAATAAGGCATAATTATATAAATTTGTATGTACAAGTCACAATAAAATAGATACAAGAAGTTGAATTGAACCAACATATTATAACTTGCTCATAATACTAACACACTAAAAATAACTTGTATTTCATGTATTTTTCTTACTGTATTGTATTCATTATGTAGCTTTCCAGTTGATCCCGGTCCATTAGCGTCATCACCGGTGGGACAGGGCCAAATGGGAATGTTCAGCGTCTGTGGTCAGCTTGATTTGGGAACTTCACAGTCTTTGTTACTATTACAGTACTGCTATTACTGTGGGTTTAATCACGGAAAAACTATTACAAATAAAGTGCTGGTATAATATGTCGACACAGATCTGAAGTTGGGTGGTTAAAAGTATCGGAAATAATAACTAATAGAAATGAAAACTGGTGTCGTAAGTAGTTTTTCTGAATAGTTTTAGAATGATCTTGAGCTGAATCAGAACAAGTATAAGAGCACATAGACTTTTGAGAGTACTTTTGAGAGCAGAAATCATATGAAATCATTTGACAGTTTTTAGGGATGTAACAATAACCGAAATATCATGATGTCGTATTGTCAAAGTTCTCACAATAATATCGTGGACCATCACAATATATCGAATTACAAGTCTCTTTGCTTAAATTAAGAGTTATGGTGCAGCAGTAGACAGAGGGAACTACATAGACCATGATCCTTTGCTCCATTTCAGTGCAGACTACAAGAAGAAACAACAGTGTTAAGCACTTTTAAGTTTTAGTTCTTTGAATTAAGTCTTGTCAAGGCATTTTAAGAGGAAAAAGTCACATATTAAGCCTCCACAGCTGTTTTTTTTATTTAGCTGTTTAGCTGTTTAAAACATCGCTATAAATATTGCAGCGTAAGTGAATATATCATTCCGAGAGATTTGGATATTGTTACATCCCTAATTGTGAGCCTCCCAACCATATCGTGAGCTTTCCCACGATATCGCAATAAATATCATACCGTTAGGTTCATATCGTGACGATATCGTATTGTGAGACTTGGATATCGTTACATCCCTAATAGTTTGTGCAGACATTGCGGAATTAATTAAAGGTCCTATATTACAGTAAATTGAATCTTGTGAGATTTAAACCAGGTTATAATACTGTTGGCAAACGAGACCACTAGGCCAAGTTACAAGTCAGATCTGTGGAGAGGTAACAAGTTTTTTATAGCCCTAAAATCACCTGCAAAATATGTAAATACTGTAATTAGGGGTGTGCAAAAATATTGAAATATCAATATATCACATTGTTTAATGTGACGATACAGTATCAATATCATGGGCTGCTGTATCGATATATCTCCAAGAGTATTTTTTGGTTTATTTTACTAAATTATTTAGTTGCAGAACTACAATTTTGTTGCTTGTTTAGTATCAGGAAACTCGTTTATGCAACACATTTGATATTTTCACAGTTTAGCCTTTTGATTGAACTGTTTCGAATCAATTTGCCCTACTTACCCTACTAATGACACTGCTGTACATGGCATCAGGTTTGTGAAGTTGTAGCGTCTTGTTTTCAGCTTTTGTATATTTACGGAGAACTGTCGTGTGAGACGTAGGCTTGTGGACAGATTCGTGCAGCTATCTGTAAAAAACGGTTCGAATAGGGCCCGGGAGAGATCACTAAATGACTCAAACATGCATGGATGATACCTAAAACCACTTCAAGCACATTTTGGATGAGGGAACAATGTTATAACGTGATAGAAAATCGATTTTGCACAAAGTTTGACTGCTGGTGTATACTGATGTTGTGGTTTATGTGAATACCCGAAAAGTTGGATGATTGTAATAAAAAAGTGTTCACTAAATGACTTTTTGGCCCCTCCCCTTCAACTTTATAACCTTCAATGACGACTCTAGCCTTGTTATTTGTAGTTTTTACAGTCTTGAATACCCCTAAATACCCAGTTATATTTCCATTCTTCACACTTGCGCACCAACCCAAGTTTCACCTGTCATTAAAGTCCCATTGAGGGTTTTCAGCGGTTTGACTTGAGTGCGTTCTCCGCCCTCTTCGCAGCAGGACATCTCATAATGCGCTAGTTTTATTTCTGCTTCTCAAACTCGGAAAACAAGACTGCTGAACTGCTTCTGCTGCCACAAAATTGCAATTCAAATGGACTCAATTAGCAAATGGCAAAGGCTGCAGTTTGGGAAGTGATTATAATAATAACTTCCCCCACAAATAACAAAATATCCTCTTATACCACAAAAGAGAGATTTTTTCACCTCTATATCTGTCTAAACACTGGTGAGTTAAAGGGCCCATATTAGGCTATTTTCTGATCTGTGTTTTAATGTTTCTTCACCACAAACAGACCTGGAGTTGTGTTTTGTTTCATTCACATGTTTAATTTAACTCACAAACCCTGCATATTTAGGCTGCAATCTCTCTATTCCACAGCTGTTCATTTGAAAACTACCTCTTTGTGACATCACAAGATGCTACGGGTGTAACAATAACCAAAATATCATGATATTGTATCGTCAAAAGTCTCTCAATTATATCGTGGACATCACAATATATCGAATCAAATGTTTCTTTGCTTAAATTCATTGTTATGGTGCAGCAATAGCTAAAAAACAGAGGGAACTACATCGACCATGATCCTTTGCTCCATTTCAGTGCAGACTACAAGAAGAAATAACAGTTCTAAGCACTTTTAAGTCTTAGTTCTTTGGATTAAGTCTTGTCAAGGCATTTTAAGAGGAAAAAGTAACATATTCACAATTTAGTTTGCCTCCACAAAATATCACAATAAATATCGTACCACGAGATTTGGATATCGTTACAAGATGGAACAGAACACAACTCCAGGTATGTTTTTGAAGCGGTAATAACATTATAACATAGCTTAAAGCTCACAAGAATCCATTTTGAGAGATAGGGCTGGGAATCACTTGATACATGGCTCATGATACGATATTATCACAATATGGCAATACATGCGATAATCGATATATACTACATGTTATTCTGCACTATATCACTGTTTTTAATAACCAAATGCAATTTAACAACAGCCACTTGTGCAAAGTCAGTATGGAATATTCAAACTTAGTGAAGTGAATGAGTCAAATCCATGTTTATTTACTGAAATTAACATGTTTATTACTGCAAACTTTAATGGACCTACCTCAATAATTACATTTAAAGGTCCTATATTATGTAGAATTGACTCTTGTGAGCGTTTCTCCATGTTATAATGTTGTTACCTTCTCAAAAAAATACCTGGAGTTCTGTTTTGTTCACAGATGTTTGAGTAATTCTTTATTATTAGTCCATCTACAACTCCAAAGCTCAAAATGCTCTGTTCCACCTTGTGACATCATGAAGTAGCAGTTTTCAAGTTAAAACTCCTTTTACTTTTTTGTTCAGCAGAGATTGGCAGTTCCAGGACTGAAATTATCCAAATGATTCTAGTGAAGGTGTATGGAGTTTAAAAACACAGTGCAGCCTGTATTAACGTGACATGAGTGAGTGTTTTCTCTTTGAGAGAAGAACCTAAATATGCAGGTTTTTAGAGAATGAAACAAATGATAACTCCAGGTATCCATTATGCCCTGACGAAGACCATCTTGCTGCTCAAAACGCGCTGGCCGTGTAATAAAGGACTTTTAATATATTTAGTTGGAGTACCTCGGGTTTGTACCTTGTCCACCTTTACATTTTTCTTGTAGAGCACCTGTACTGCTATTTTAAACTTTTTTATGACTCAGTGAAGTGCTCTACCTCTTTTCTTCATTTGACAACTCCAGGTCTGTTTGTGATGAGGAAACATTATAACATAGATCAGAAAATAGCGTATTATGAGCCTTTTAAAACAAGTTGGCTCTGTAGCTGTCCCAGTCGAGTCGCTAGTTAATCACTGATAATTTATGGACCTTTAAACTGTAAAAACAGCTGTTCCCGCCCGGTTTCGAACCGAGGACCTTTCGCGTGTTAGGCGAATGTGATAACCACTACACTACGGGAACTGGCTGCCCCCTCCTCTCCACACTCCACTGGTGAAGAACGACGTGATAAAAGTAGCTCAGAAACTTGGCGCTGAGAATGCTGACTCAATGTGACAAGCCTGAGGAGCAAAATGAGCCCTGGCATATATGTGCTGCCCTCTGTATGGGACATGGTGCAGGTTTGTCTCGTGTTTGTCCCTCTTATTCGGGATACAAGATGAATTGCAATCTAATCAAAATCACAATTTGGATGGACGCATTCAGCAACTCGCAAAGCTGCAGTTTTTGAAGTACTTTAATTTCCTTCACACACAACAAAATATCCTGAATTATTCTGCATAAAAACTGCAAACCCTGTAGTTTAGATCTGTACCAACAGGTTCTTGTATTAGTTTGTCAGTTCAAAATCAAGTCTTTTGGTCAGTTCTTCTGAAGCAAAAGAAAACAAAAATTCTGTCAACTGGACTTGAGTTTTCTGAGTGCTGTAGATCTGTTGTGGAAAAATGTTATGTATCTCTTCTTGATGATAAATCCATTTGCAAAGCCTAGTGAGTTTTTGGAATACAGACAAAGGTTTATTACAGCAGATATGGACAGAGCCTGCACTGGCCACAGACCAACAGCCTCTCCTGAGTATCACCCCGTCTCTCCATCTTCCGTCCGTGCATCTGAGCGCTGAGTATTTATACAGAAATACATATGAAAAGTGCAGCTTTTGTTTTACATACCTGTGCCAATCAACAGGTTACATTTGCTTACATTTGAGGATAGGTACGACAACACAAAGTTTCCTGTGGGTGGGGACAGATGTGTCTGTTCAGCCTTTACACATGTTAATCACTGGTCTGGGGCTCAGGTACAAATCACATTCATTTACAAAAAAACAGATTGAGAGAAATCTTTACCCAATATACATTTCCATCACAATATACAATTCTTCTGAAGTTTAAAATGTGAACTTCGAACAGAATCCTATTATTAATGCTTCTGACATTTTGGTTATGAAATGGAAACTTTTCCCCAAATTGTGCAACCCTAGTTCCAGTTTTCAGTTTTTGAATGATGAGTTCTGTAACTATTTATTTACTATTCATGTAATTACAGTGATTGCATGTGCTCATTCAAGCAGTGATGTCTCATGTCTGACGCTGGTTGTCTGTCCTCAGCTCTGTGGGTGGGCCCCTCGCTGCAGGTGTCAGAGGGAGGGGTCTCTCTGAAGCAGCCTGCGTCTCTGCAGCTCTCTCAGTGTCAGCACATGTTAAAACACCTGCACCACGGGGCCAGAGTCACCGTCCAGATGCCCCCCAACGTGGAGGGACACTGGGTCTCCACCAGGTCTGTCTCATTTATATCTCTGTATAGATATGACATAGTTTGATGTAGAGCTGCTCGATTATGAAAAAAATCATTATCATGATTATTTTGGTCAATATTGAAATCACGACTTATACAAACAGTTATTTTTTAGTTACATGATGCATTTATTTAGCATTTCTCTCTCAAAAGAAACACTTTCTTATTGATAATTTACTCAAAACTTTCAAATTGAAAATAAGTATAGACTACAAATATGTACCTCGTTTTTGCGCAGTTTTGTAATGTATAAAACATAAAATAAATAAAACATACTTTGAACATGAAATAAGGCACAGAAAAACATAAATGTATCCAAAATACACTGTATATCCACCTGTTCTACAATCTCTGTATTTAAATAATTAAATAAATATACAAATTTATATTAAAAAATATCCCAAAATAAACTTTGTTAAGCTTTAATCATTTCAAATCGATTATATGAGTTTGGAGATCGTTTGACACACAAATCAAAATCACAATCAAAATTTGATTAATTGCACAGCCTTAGTTTGATGTATAACTTGACTTTTTTAAAGAAAGTATTACTTTCCTAGTATTTTCTTTTCTAGCATATATATAATAACTACACCATAATTAGCTTTAAAGCTCCTATATTACACAAAATTGACTCTTGTGAGCTTTAAGCATATTATAATGTTGTTACCTCCTCAAAAACAGACCTGGAGTTGTGTTTGTGAAGGGGAAAACAACATTATAACTTACACTATATCAGAAAATAGTGCAATATGGGCCCTTTAATCAACAATTTGTCTTTTTTTACTTTATTGTTTCTCCGTGCTTTATCATTAATTATTACCAACTTTTTTTCCCAGTTGTGAAGTTCGCCCGGGTCCGGAATTCTTGACACGCTCCTACCGCTTTTCCTCCAACCACACATTTCAGGCGCATCAGTTTTACTACGAAGACAACCACTGCACCAAGCCTACGTACTCTTTAGTCATCAGGGGAAGGGTCAGACTACGGCAAGCCTCTTGGATCATCCGCGGAGGCACCGAGTCAGAATACCACCTCCACAAGATCAATATTATCTTCCACTCCGAATCTACTGCCAAAAACATGAGCCACAAACTTTCCCGTGGGTGCAAATGGGCTTCGAAGGGTGGATTGGAAGTCGGGGTTTTGTATGAAATAAGGAACGAAGATGGGACGCTAGACTGTACCAAGGAGCTCAACTTTGCCATGCACGAGTTGCAGCTGCTCAGAGTGGAAAAGAAATACCTGCAAAGCCCAAACCAGGATCTAAGCCAGGATCTGAACCAGGACTCGGATCTAATCCAGGATCTAAACGTGGTGGAGGAGCTGTTTTTGGGAGACATCCACACGGAGATGTCTCAGAGGATCTACTACAAGCCGTCCAGCTACCAGACAGCGCTGCAGAACGCGAAGGTGAGTGGCAGAGGTGGGGAGTCGTGACTTGGACTCGAGTCAGACTTGAGTCACTATTTTTAGGACTTGAGACTTGACTTGATAAAATGGACAAAGACTTGGGGCTCAACTTGGACTTGAAGGTCACTGATTTGGGACTTGACTTGGACTTGAGGCCTGTGACTTGAGAAGCGTTTTTAAATCTGAATTCTTTCTATTCTGACTGTAATGATTGAATTTAAGATCTCGTCAAGACATTTAAAAAGGTAACATTTGCATTTGTTCTACTTTTATATACTCTATAAATACTCATACAAATATACTATGACTTTATAAGTACAATTTATCTTAAAATTCATATCAAGTGCAAAAATCTAAGCTATATTTGGTACTTTGGTTTAAAGACTTGAAATGACTTGAAGCTCAAAGCAGACGACTTGGACTTGACTTGGACTTATGGGCCAGTGACTCAAGGCTCGACTTGGACTTGCCTGTATTTGACTTGGGACTTGACTCAGACTTGAGGTCAGAGACTTGCTTGAGACTTGCAAAACGATGACTTGGTCGCATCTCTTGACATGTGAATTAATTTGTTATGCTCTTAAATTGTTGATGATGGATTCCTCTTCTTACTGGCTGTTGCCACGTTTACAGCTTTAGAGAGCATTCATTCCAAATAAAAATAATAACATTCTGAATAAAAATGAATTCCACTTTAAAAAGACTATGTAAACACTTAATTCCTAATGGAAATGATGATTCAGATTTAAACGTAATTCCGAAGTAAGTGGGTGGTTTGTTCCGATTTTAAAGTCGAATTAATCTATTTCTTGGTCATGTAAACATTTATTCTTCTTAAAAAAATAATTCTGGTCGTTCAGCTCGTACTCGTTGGGTCGCCCTTTTGATGCGATCCAGACGATTTGGCTCCACCAGTTCTCGCTTCGGACTTTCATCCACAGCGGGAGAGCACAGAGCAGCCGTTGACTCAGTTTGTCTTCTTCCTCCCTTCTTCAACACCCTTCCCTTCTCCTCCTTGGCTGACAGACATAAAGCGTGATGAGAGAATTCTTGTGCTGATACTTAATTATCATCAGAACGACTGTGAAAAAAGTTTGGATCATGTTTGTGTCCTTGGCATAACAACAAACCCAAGATAACAAAAAACAAAATTGGTATTGTGTCAAGTCTGTTCTTTAGTACGGAAATCGAGTATGAGAATTTTTTTATCTCGACAGCACTGATACTTTGTCTGAGGTTTTTCTGTGATTGATTTACTACAGATTTGAGGCAGTTGTGAGACCAGAATTCTCATCTGGATAAAGTTTGTCTAAGTTTAAGTCTAAGGATGCTTTATTTAAGGCCGAATAATTGTTCTGCATCGACTCAATGCACATTGCCACCATCGCCGTCGCTTTTGATTTATGGATTTGTGTCGAGGTCTATGCAACGAGAAGTAATTCACCGCCACAACTGTGAGTGGAGTGCTGAGTCACAAAATCGCATGAACTCATGTACACAAAATGAAGCGAGTAAGCGGAGTACCGGAAATGTATGTAGAGTGGTGGTAGAGAAGACCAATCACAGCCTTTATTGTCTGCGTCGCTTTCCCACACTGTTGACGATTTGACGTACGACCATAAATTAGACTTTAGACTTCAAAAAGGAGCTGTTCCCGCCCGGTTTCGAACCGAGGACCTTTCGCGTGTTAGGCGAATGTGATAACCACTACACTACGGGAACTGGCTGCCCTCTCCCCTTTCACTGCCCCCCTCCTCTCCATGACTCCAGGTCATGAGACACTCCATTTGGCACATAAGAAAACCAGCATTAAAGGGCACATATTACACTATGTTCTGGTCTATGTTATAATGTTGTTTCTTCATCATAAACAAACCTGGAGTTGTGTTTTGTATCATTCACATATGACTAACACAAACCCTGCATATTTAGGCTGTGTTCTTCTCTTAAACAGAAAACAGTGATCCACCTTGTAATGTCATGTGGTAATACAGGAAGTGCTCCACTCTGTTTTTCAACTTCCACTAGAATCATTTGGATAATTTCAGCCCTGGTATTCCCAAACTCTACTGAACTGAAAGTAAAATTTGAAACTAATTTGAAAACTACAATGGCGTGGAACAGATCATTTTGAGCTTTGGAGATGTACAGACTAATAATAAAAGATTACTCAAACATGTGTGAATGAAACAAAACACAACTCTGGGTGTGTTTTTTGGGAAGATAACAACATTCATCAACAGTAGAGGTGCAAAATACAAGGAGTAGCGAGATAAAAGTGAAAAAAATGCATAGCACGCTCAGATGGCCGACGTCCAAAAGCCTTTCTAAAAAAAAAAAGCCCTTGTTAGACACCCTTCCCACCTTGGACCACGGTACAGTAAGGGTGTCTGAAGAGGGCTTTTGTTTTGCCGAAACGTTATTTAGAAATAGAAAGGCTTTTGGACATATGCCATCTGAGTGTGCTGTGCATTTTTTCACTTTTAGATAACAACATTCTAACATGGCTTAAAGCTCACAGTCAATTTTGTGTATTACAGAACCTTTAAAGCTACCATCTGTTTATTACATTTTTTTTTACCAGTAGATGGCACTTGAGACACTTTATGTGAGTACTACACACTATCAGTTTGAAGTCACTCTTAGACAAATTTTCCAAGCTGAACAAGCAGAGAAATCAATCTTGTTAAGGGTCCTATATAACTAAAACAAAATGACTTATGTGAGTTTTAAGCCATGTTATAATGTTGTTACCTCATCACAAACATACTTGGAGATGTATTTTGTTTCATTCAGGCACGTTTGAGTTATCCTTTATTATAGTCTGTCTATACCTTCCACCTTGTGATGTCATGAAGCAGTAGTTTTGTATTTGTAATTGTATTTATTTACTAAAGAGAAAATGCATATTATAACACAAGATAATGCAAAAGAAAAAAAAAAACATATACTTGTAAATATGCAGGATTGTAGCCAGAGCTCATTTCTATCCTTAGTGCCAGGGCCAGCCAAGTTAACAGCTCCTTTTACCTTTTGTTCAGTAGAGATTGATGAGTCCAAGTCTGAAAATATCTACATGATTCTAGTGACAGTGTATGGCTGTGGGGTCTCCAACCTGTAGCTCTCCATCTGCTTCCAAGTAGCTCGCCAAGGGATTTCTAAATTCTGTGTATTGTGCAGAATAAATATAATTTGTTGATTTGTTGATTACCAATGTAAATGTTATTTTCATGCCTAAATTGGTGCACTGATACATGGATAATGGTTTATGTTTTTGTTGAGGAAAATAACCCTTTTCCTTGCGTGCTCGTTAGTTTCTGCTTAGACAAAAAAATTATACTTGAAACAGAAATAAAGTCCAGATAATTTACTTATTCCAAAGTCATACTTGTACAAGGAGTCTGTGCTGACATTCCCATGCAGAGACTGAATATTTACGCCTGTACAATGATTTTTATAAGGAAACTATACTGGGAGGCGATGGTATAGAGTTAATGCCTCTTTATTGGTGCACAGACCAGCCAGGTCTCTTGTTACGTTGCACAATTACGTTGCGTCTTGCTGGTCTGATCAGGGTGACGAGTCAGCATAGCCCTATCAATAAGTCCTTGTCCTATTTAGTTAACTGATTAGACATATAGATAGAAATAGAATATCTTGTACATGAACTGAACCTATCTCTGCATCCCTTATCTGTCCCTGTTTTCTGGGTAATTGAATAGTGAATTATAATATTATAATAGTACAATAATAAAATATAGCAGTACATCAATAACATCATAGCAGTAGTTATACACCACCTAAGCCTAGTTATTTATCCTAACATTTTATAAGCATCTAACTGTTCTCCGTCTAAGGCTTGCTGTGGCTCTTTTTATGAATGCGAATGCTGAAATTAGTAGCTCTCTGCTAGTCTTGTTTTGTAAGGTAGCTCACCTACCTAGCTACATTTACAAAACAAAACTCCCAGAGAGCTACTAATTTTAGCAGCCGCAAGAACTTGAGATGATTATAAGAAAGAGGGGGAGCCTTTGGGTACAGTTAAATGCCTATAAAACATAAACCACTGTCCATTTATTAGTTAGTATAAAAGGTTCCAAGATGATAAAATAATAATAGGCATGTAATTAATCAATGCTTTGTTATTCAGCACAATAGGTGTAATTCCAAAATCCCTTGGCGAGCTACTTGGACGGGGGTGGAGGTCTACTGGTAGCTTCCGAGCTACAGGTTGGAGACCCCTGCTTTGGTGTATGGACTTACTTCCTGTATCACCACATGACATCACAAGGTGGAACAGAGGCTACATTCAGATTGCAGCCTGAAGTGACCCAAATCCGATTTTTTGGCCCCTATGTGACCTGTATCTGATCTTTTAATGACAGTCTGAACGACACAGATCTAGTTTTTTCAAATGCGACCCAGGACACTTCGATATGTGCTCCTAAAACTGATACATATCTGATCTTTTGACATGCGACTTCAGTCTGAACGGCCAAAGCGCATTCATCCGACCTACATGTTATCAACAAGCCACAAACGCCACTTTTCTGCACTGAAGTAGGCGAAAATTGTTAATGAACTCCATGTCACTGAAGCGAAGCCACTCACCACTCTTGGCGACATCTCCGCATCCACACGTTCCTTTCAACGGACGTCGCTGCCACTGCCCCACAAAAAACCACAGCCAAAAACCTCATCCTTCTCCTTCTCAATCTCCTCCTTAAAACAAGTAAGTTGTTCATGTTCTGGCTCCGGTACGAGAGGAACTTTAAAATCTCCAGGTGCTCAATGCTCGCATCCATGTTTGGACAACTTCCGTAACCACAGAGCACGCTCGCTGCGATTGACGTCATCGTGTCCTCCATTGCGAATGGGGGACACTTTTGGGCCGTTTACTATTCACACTGGAGTCACATACAAGACGCAATTAATTGGAAATGTGAACGACCTCGCAAAAACATCGAATTTCACAAAAAAAAATCTGAATTGAGCATTAA